TGCGCCACCACCGCCCGGCTCATGATAGCTTTTTAATTCGGCCCTGTCCTGCCCTTGACATCGAATGGCCTGGAACCAGTCAGCTGTCCTCAATTTCACTTTTCTGTATTAGTCCACTTTCTGTTACTGTAGTAAAATACCTGATACCAGGCACTTTATAAGGAAAAGAAGTTTAGAGATTTAAGAGGATGGTGTTGGCATAAAGCGAGATGGAAAACCAGAGACAGAAACAGCCAGTCTTGCTGTTTTATAATAAACCCTTTCAGAATTTCCAGAGTCCCATGAAACCACATTAGTTCCTTCTGAGGGCAATAACAAGTACACCCCCACCCCCACACACAAATGACCTAATTATGTCCCACCAGCCCCTCTTTCCTACTGGTCACACTTCCTCTCTCATGAACACACTGAGGACTAGGTTTCCCACTTGTGAGCCTTGAGTGATACATGTAAATGATACCCAGACCCTAGCCCTATATGAATGATGGGTGGAGCTTCAGATAGACAAGATCTTACAGTACACCATACTTTCGATTTACAATACCGAGTCAGTGTGTCCTGTGTATGTGTGATGTTGCGAGATGTATTATTCAGTGATGAATAATATTTGAATGACAAGGACACTGTTATGTTATTTGGTAGTAAAAATTAGTAAAATTTTAAACTTCATTCTAAAGTAAGCAAACACTCTAGAAATTGTTGCTGTAGTTGGGTTTAGCCTGATGGGTAAAGTAGTCCTGTCAGTTCATTATCAGATTCTGTCTTCAGCAGAGAGCTGTATACCCAGAAAGATGGAGAGCTCGTGACTACTTTAGAAAAACATATTGATGAATACAGTGAAATCTCAGAAAGTCAATAAAGAGATCTGAAACAGATTTTCTGAAATTAAGGATTGAATAATGAAGTTACATGCTGAAATACCTTCAGATACTTCCTTTGTGAGTGATGGGATCACAGGTGTGTTTCATGATGCTCAGCTCGTTTTAAAATATTGAAGAGGGGCTGGAGAGATGGCTTAGAGGTTAAGAACACTGGTTGTTCCTCCAGAGGTCCTGAATTCAATTCCCAGCACCCACATGGTGGCTCACAACCATCTGTGAGATCTGGTGCCCTCTTCTGGCCTGCAAGGATACATGCAAGCAGAACACTGTATATATAATAAATAAATAAATCTTGAAAAAATCAATTTCCTAAGAAATCATTAATTTACCAAACTTTACTCAGGAAGCCAGCATAAACAATGAAAACTTTCTAAGATTATTTTCTCTCTGAAAAACTGTGGGATTAAATGGTTTTTATTAGTAAGTTCTGTGTTTCAAATTTCCAGAAACAGCTTAATATTCAAATGCTATGTAAGTCATTCCCAAGCAGGCAGCCACAGAAAGCTCTCTGGTAGGTGTCATGAAACTGTTGTCGGGTTGCTACAAAATGAAGGGAAAGCTGTGCACACAGGAGGTCTGCAGACTCGTGGTTTCCATCAGGAGGTAATCCTGCTTTGGAGGATCCGTGGCGATGTCTACAGACATTCTTGTGAATGTTTTCTTTCTTTTTTCTCATTTTCATTTTGTTGTGGGGACAGACGCCATGGCCAAGAGCATTAGGCGTGCTCCACCACTGAGTTAGTTACCTGCTAACCTTGGAGGACATCCTTAGCCATCTCTACCTGGGTAGGAATGGGAGGCTTCAGCGAGGAGAGGTCAGAGGTGCTGTAAATGCCCTATCAAGCACAGGACAGCCACCCAAACCAACTGTCAGCACAGGAGTTCCAGAAATAAAAAACTGACATGCACGGCTTAGCATGAATAAGAAAACACTAAGCAAAAAAAGTAGGAAAAGTAATTTACCAAGACCAAAGATAATCCCATTTTTCAGTACTAGATTTAAAATCCATTCTTCATACCAAATAATAAGAACCATTTAATCCACTCAGTAAATGTTCAATAGGTATTGGATAAAATTCCATATTATAAGTCTTTAAGCCTAATATAGAAGAATACTTCTTAACAGTAAATATTTAAAAAACAAAACCAAACAAACAAAAACCCTTCTGGTAATCTAATAGTTAATATTTAGCTTCAGAACAGGAGTGGTCTCATTAACATCAGAACATGGTTACCATAGCAACATTGATAATCCACAGTGTTTAGGAGGTTCAGCCATCAAAGTAATTATTTACATAAAACAGAAAGAAGGGTCACACTTCTTAGAGAGGAGAAAATCATTTTTATTTGAAGACTGCATGCCTACTAGAAATAAAAGGTCATTGATTTTTTTTTGGAAATTTTTAACTTAAAATATACAGCAAAGTAGCTAAACCAAGTGAAATTTCTTGGTGCCAATAATCACTAAGTACGAAATGTAATAAGAAAATGCCCTTTTCAAAATTTTAAAGTACACACACACACACACACACACACACACACACACACACACACACACAATGTCCTTGGAGGAACCCTAAGAAAACGCATGTGTAGCCCATATCATAAAAACTACAAACCTTTAGCACAGCATGATGGTGCACCTTGATCCTACCACTCCAGAGGCAGAGGCAGGTGGATCTGTGAGATCAAGGCCAGCCTAGCTAACACAGTGAGTTCCAGGCCAGCCAGGGCTATCCAGTGAGACTCTGTCTCAAGAGTCTCACCACACACACACACACACACACACACACACACACACACACACGCACGCACACACGCGTGCGCGTGCGCGCACACACGCACACACATACGCACAGGCACAGGCACGCACACACAACTGCAAATCCGCCCACCCCCAATCTAAATTTTGCTTTGTTTCCAGAAGTAAAATGTAACTATTACCTACGTGTGGGTTCCTGTCAGTCAATGTGTAGATCTCAGCCATGTGACACTTCTCCAGGACCAGGTGCGGGTGGGGAAATAGGGCTTTCATCGGTGTTTAACCTTAAACACACACATATGTACATAAGTTACTAAAAAGATGAATTTAAAAAAAAAGACTATGTCTCCCAGAGATACAAAGTGAATATGCCATCGTTTCTTATTTAACTCATCAATTCATCGTATGATGTAATCAGTTCAAAGGAAAACCAGAGCGCCCCACGTACAGACATACTGAATGTGAGTGAGCATCAGCCTCCTCCAGCGGAGTACCACAGTTTGTGTTTCTCTGGACAAACGTAACTGGCCGGGCTCTAATCCTCTGCAGGGTAGGGTTGTAAGTGTGGGGTGGTAGGAATTACACAGAAGCCGGACAGGGTGAAGGCAGCCTCTTCTCCGCCTCTTCCTCCTGTTCGTTTCCTGTTTCAAAAATCTTACACCATTTTTGCAAATAAATGTAAAATAAAACAAAATCTTATCAGTTTACAAAGAATTTTAAATTGTTGAATCTTACATTTGTTAAAACAAAATATTTAAATCAACCTAAAAGGCCATCAGTTAAGTAGGTGGTTAAACAAATAATACATTCATGTTCAATAATGTATTGCAATAATACAGTGTAATCCTTTGCTTATTTTTCACTTTTCTAAACATGTTTTTGTGTGAGATTGTGTGTGTGTGGCTGTGGCTTTGAGGTTGTGTGCATGTATGTGTGTGTTTGACTGGAGGGTGTGTGTGTGTGTGTGTGTGTGTGTGTGTGTGTGTGACTGGAGTGTGTGTCTGCGGCTGTGGGGGGTGTATGTGTGAGACTGTGGAGTGTGTGTGCATGTGTGTATATGTGTGACTGGAGTGTGTGCATGTGTGTGTGTGTGGTGTGTGTGTGTGTGCATGTGTGTGTGGTGTGTGTGTGTGTGCATGTGTGTGTGTGGTGTGTGTGGCGTGTGTGTGTGTGTGGTGTGTGTGTGTG